TATCAGTCACTCAGGAGCCTTCAGTATTACTAATTTTTTGGACATCCTTTCAGGCAGTTTTGTGGGTTTCTTTTGTTCTGTTTGTTTGTTTGTTTTGTTTTGTTTTGTTTTGTTTTTGCTACCCCAGACATGCACTAGAGACAGAGAGGAGTGAGAAACCCTCCCAGGGGGTATGGCCACACCACAATCCCTTCTCCTCCACTCTTCTCTCAGGATTTTAGGCACACACACCCAGCGTGTTTCTCAAGCCATCAGATCTAGACTTGAATCATGCAGTTAGCCATGTACATTCAGCCACCTTAAACACCATGTCACCAACTGGTCCTCAGATGGAAAGTACAGTTGTAAAAGATGTTCCTAAAGGGACCAGCAGGTGGCGTGTTAGTTAAGGGTGCTGAACTACCACATGGCTGATCATGGTTTGAGTCCTGGACCAGGCAGCTTGCTTTTTCACTTTTCCTTTCTCTCTCATGCATGTGTGCTCTCTCGCTCGCTCTCTCTCTCTCGCTTTCTCTCTCGCTCTCTCTCTCCTTCTCTGGTCAAATTAAAATGAGTAAATAAAGATAAATAATTCTTTTTTTAAAAAAGAGCTGTTCCTCAAATTTATGTGAAGACATAATTTGTTGAGTCATCGGAAAAATCATGTATTTTTCTGTGTGTGTGTGTGTGTGTTTTTAAGACAAAAATCTAATTCAGATTTTTTAAAAATAATTATTGTATTTGACTTTAATTTGACCAGAGGAACAGCGAGAGAGATAGGGAAAGTGAGAAAGCAAGCCACCAGGTCTGGAACTCAAACATGCTGTCTGCCATGTGGGAATCTAGTACCCTTAACCACCATGCCACCTGCTGGTCCCTTTTCTATGTTTTTCTATGCAAAAATGTCATGACATTTCAGACGACCCAATAGTAATCTATAGTAGCCTCTAGCTTGATTCCTAAGTGCTAGACATTTATACCAGCTCCCTCTTCTCTTACCTCCGTTCATCCCCTTGGGTTATCACTTCTCAGATCAAACCTTGGATTCTCACACCTTCCTCCTCCCTAAAAAAATCTATCAGTGTGGCTGTTACCTTTAGTTGTACAAACCAAAAACCACATTATCTTTGCCATAGGGCGGGCGCCACCACACCCCCAAACCACATTATCTTTGACACCTCTTTCCCACATTCCCAAAACTGAGCCATCAGTTCCATAGTTTCCCTCAAGTCACTTAACGTTTCTTTATGTTCTCACCCACCTCCCTGGTCTGGGCTTCCTCAGACTGTCTACTGGATTATTTCATTAGTTCCTAACTGTCTCATGCACTTCTTTGTAGTTTTTGCTAGAGGGCATGTGCACTCACCCAAGATGGGGAATGAGAAATCACCCTTGCCAGGGTCATGGCCACACCACAGTCCCTTCTCCATTCTTCTCTTGGGATCGTGGGCACAATGCACACGCATCTGGTGTGTTTTTCCGGATCCAGGACTCAAACCACATAGCCAGACTTGTGGCATTCAACTGTCTTAAACGCCACATTACCTGCTGGCCCACACACCACTGCTTTTTCTTTTTATTAATTTTATTTTTTTAAGTATTATTTAGCTTTATTTATTTATTTTTATTTGACCAGAAAGGGGACAGACTGAGAGAGAGAAAGAGAGAGAAAGTGAGAAAATAAACCACCAGGTCTGGGACTCAAACCGTGGTTCACCATGTGGGAGTCCAACACCCTTAACTACCACACCACCTGCCAGCCCCCCTCTGTTTTTTCTTTTTTTCTTTCAGTTCATTTTATTTATTTTGAGACAGAAGGAGATAGAAAGTGACATCCTTGACAGGGTCTTGTCATGCCATGATCCCCTTTCCTCCAGCCCTCCAGCTATTTGGGATCTTGGTCATGCACATGTGTGGCGTGTTTCAGATCAGAATCTGAACCTTCAGTTGGCCATGTGACTTCCAGCACTGCAGATCATTATGCTATTTCCTGTGCCACCAAAGCTGGGCCCAGTCTTTTCTCCCTCCAATCTGTTTTCTACCCAGATTGGTCATTTAAAATCACAAAGTTAAGGGGCCAGCAGGTGTCATGGTGGTTAAGGGCACTGGACTCCAACATGGCCATCCACAGTTCGAGTCCTGGACCTGACAGCTTGCTTTCTTACTTTCTCTCAATCTCTGTCCTTCTCTGGTCAAATTTAAATAAATAAATAAAGTTAAATAAAATCATTTTTAAAAAAAAATCACAAAGTTAATCATGTTACTTCCATGCCTAACACTTTTTGATAACATTCTTAGACTAAAGGTCAAATGGTAATTACACACTACAATGACCTGCATAGACTGGTCTTTGCAGGCTTCAGCAGACCACCTTTCATTATCTGCTACAGAAAGCAAACATGTTGTCTGCCATGATCTCCTTGGTCTTCTTACACTCACTGTTCCTCTGTCTGAAATGCTCTTTTATTCTTGCCACCTTATCTAGTATCTTCCAGATCTCAGGCTTCACTTTCTTAAGCCTTCACTATCTCCCAGACTAGGTCAGTTCCTCAGTTAAAGCTCACAGCACTGGACCAGCCAGTAATGTGGTGGTTAGGGTGAATGGATCCCACATGGCCAACGGGCATGGTCCAAGTCCCAGACCTGGTGGCTTGAATTTCAACACATCAGGTGTGTATGCATGCATGCCAAAATCCCAGTAGGAGAATGGAAAAGAGATTGTGGCATGGCCGTACCCACAGGAGATGCTTTCTCACTTCCCCTTTGTTTGTGTCTGGCAAGCTCATGCACCCTGTAGCAAAATTTATACATAAATAAATAAATAAAGCTGACAACATTATCTTTACCTTCATTGTACGTATTAGGGTTACAATTTCCATTATGTCTGATCATTTATGGTTTTTTTAATTCTTAAAATTGATATAGTATAGTTTCTGGCACCTATGAAAATACTTTATAAACTATGGAAGATACTAGAATAAAAGGTGGTAGTTTTCTTTAAATTCATGTTTATAAATTTGACTGACATATGACACTCATTTTTCTGAGTGGTGGATGACAGAGGGAATATTCCCCTGGTGATACTAAACTCAGCTATTAAATTCATTAAAATATCTAGTCTGGGGACCAGCAGTTGGTGTAATGGCTATGTCACTGGACTCTTATGTAGTCTACTGTGGTTCAAGTCCCGGATCTGGTGGCTTCAACTCGTGCCAGGCACGTGTGCATGCATGCCCAAGATCTCAAGAGGAGAATGGATGAGAAGGGATTGCAGCGTGGCCATCCCCCCTGGGGGTGATTTCTCTCTTTCTGTCTGTCTCCCTCTTTCTGGCAAGTGCACACACCCTATAGCAAAAAAAACTTCTCAAAAAAAAAAAAAAAACTCTAGTCTGTGCGAGAATACTGGAATCACAGAGATTAATTAGATCTGGATAGACCTTACCCTCTAGCAGCTCACAGTACTTCATTTTATTAAAATTTCAAATTGGGGTTTTGTCTGGATTAAGGCACTGGATTTTCACGTGACTGACCATGGTTTCAGTCTCAGACCCATCAGCTTGAAAATCACACCAGGGATATGTATGTGTGCCCAGAATCCTGAGAGCAGAAAGGATTGTGGTATGACCATCTTCCCCTGGAGATGGTTTCTTTTTCCTTTCTCTGTTTCTCTCTTGTCTTTCTCTGCAAGTGCATGCCCCCTATAGTAAATCCTAAAATAATAAATAAATAAAATAAAATTCCAGATCAACCAACATCTGTCTCCTGTGGGTTCCCCCCACCCTCAGATGACCTGTAGCATTTCAGAAAGCCTTACACAAATTGTGTGGTGGTAGCAACACTTTCTTTTGATCGAAGAAGAGAAAATTTTGCTCATACTTTCTTCTAGTGATAGTTCTTCTCTCAAGAGATGTCTTTAGAAATATCCCTGTTTTGGGACCAGCAGGTGGCGTGGTGGTTTAGGGGCACTGGATTCCCACATGGCCAACTGCGGTTCGAGTCCCGGACCTGGTGGCCTACTTGCTCACATTGCCTCTCTCTGTCCCTCTCTGGTCAAATTAAAATAAATAAATAAATAAATGAAAAAAAGTTCACTAAAAAAATTCTTAAAAAAAAAAAAAAGAAATATCCTTGTTAAAAGGGAGAGAGACCTTCTGAGAGAATTTAAGCCACATGAAGCTCATTTTATATCCCTCTTGTTAAAAGAGAAATTTGTGTGAGGTTCATTTACCAGGAACTTTCTCTGTGTCTCTCCTTTTTCTTTAGGAAACCTGCAGGAAGTGTCAGGGCCTCTGGAAAGAACATAACGGCCTCACCTGTGAAGAGCTGGCTGAAAAAGATGACATTAAATACCGGACATCTATGTGAGTAGTGTAATTCAGAGGAAATTACTGGCTACTTCTCAGCTTCCCAGTTAACCTGCCATTGGCATAGGGACCAGCGACCAGAATATATTGTGGGAAAAATAAGTTCAAGCCACTCCCATCAAGAAGGATCTCAGGAAAGTGACTTAACTCCTGACCCTCTGTTTCCTTATCTACTCAGCCTCACAAAGCTACCTCACGATTGAAATGTAAGACATAAAATACCCAGCATGTATGAATTCGGTAAATTTTGGCCCCCCTTCTCCTTTGTCTAAGTAAATCAGCAAGTTACAGGAGTTTTTTTTTTGTTTTTTTTTTTTTTTGCTATAGAGTGCATGCACTCAGAGGAGAAAGGGAAAAGGAAAGTGAGAATCACCCTCAAAGGAGGTGGCCACCCCACAATCCCTTCTCCACTCTCATGATTTTGGGCATGCACATACATGTCCCCAGCATGATTTTCAAGCAGGTCTAAGACTCAAACTATGCAGTCAGCCATGTGGGATCCATCACCTCAACCATCACACTACCTGCTGGCCTACAATTAACACATTTTAAATAGATTAAAACATACTACATTATAGGATACTGGTAGCTGAGACATTAAGTAGACTTGCCAGCCTCCAGCATGAAAAATGAAGCATTAATAATAATGATGATAAGGGAACCAGCAGTTAGCGTAATGGCTATGTCGCTGGATTCCCACGTAGTCGACCGCGGTTCGTGTCCCGGACCCGGTGGCTTAAAACTCACGCCGGGCGCGTGTGCGTGCGTGCCCAGGATCCCAAGAGGAGAATGGAGGAGAAGGGATTGCGGTGTGACCATCCCCCCTGGGGGGTGATTTCTCGCTTTCCGTCTCTATGTCTCTCTCTGTCTGTCTGGCGAGCGCACGCGCCCTACAGTGAAAATCTCTCAAAAAAAAAAAAAAAAACCAAAAAGAAAAAAAATAATAATAATGATGATAACTATTATTTGCATAGTATTCTTTCTGTGATCGAGCATTTACAAGTATTAACTTATTGAAATTTAGTGATTCAAGTGATACAGAAGTCTATTTTTCTCTCATATATAACAGCCCAGATTTGCCAGACTGCTAGGGCAAGCCTGATCCAGGTTCCTTCCATCTCCCTCCTTCACCATTCCCTAAGGGTGCTATTTTTGGGGAGAGAGAGATTTTTGCTATAGGGCACGTGTGCCTACCGGACAGACAGAGAGATATAAAGTGAGAAATAACACCCCAGGGGGAATGGCCATGAAGCAGTCCCTTCTCCATGCTCCTCTTGGGATCTTAGGCACACACACACATGTGCCTGGTGTGAGTTTTAAGCCACCAGGTCCAGAACTCAAACTGTGGTTGACTACATTACACCATCTGTTGGTTCCGCTTTTCTTTAAGTTTTAAGTGATACAGAAATGTATGTCCCCTGGGCCAGCTAGGTGGCATGATGGTTAAGGTGGCTGGATCCCACGTGGCAGACTATGTAGTTCAAGTCTTGACATGGCAGCTTCAAAAAGACAACAAGCACATGTACATCTGACCAAGAGCCGGAGAGAGTGGAGAAGGGATTGTGGCAGGGTCATCCCCCTGGTGGGAGATTACCCACTTTTTTTCTCTCTCTCTCCCACAAGCACATGTACCTTAAATAAAATTTAGAAACTAAATTAAAATAAAACTAAATAAATTTTTTTTTTCCTTCTCATTCTCTGTTGGTCTTGATCAAGTCACATGGACACAACCTGGCTTTAAGGCAGGCACTGCATGTAGCCTCTAGTTGGGTGATTTTATGCCCAGTTTAAATATGTGTTGTTATTAAGAAAATAAAGTGGGCAATGGTGTTAGCATTCTCCAGATCTCTAGCACAGTTAGGTACTATTATCCTCATGTTACTAATGAGGCAGCTGAGACACAGAGGGCCCAAGTAAGCTGCTCATAGTCACACTCAATAAGTGGTATAGCAGGAATTTGAATCCAGGCAAATGATTTCCTGGCTGTGCTCTAATTTGTTTATTTATTGCCAGAGTACACATGCATGAGAGAGAGAGAGAGAGAGAGAGAGAGAAAGTACTCCCCCCCCCCGCATTGGGGCATGCTTATACCACAGTCCTTTTCCTTCCATTCCTTCATCTCATCAGGATTTGGGACATACATGCACACACACATCCAACCAGTTTTCAGGCTGTTGGGGCCAGATTTGAGCTGTGGTCAGCTGTTTAATCTAGTGTTTTAACCACTTTGCTCTGGGGCTGGCCCCCTGGACTGTACACTGTATCACAACTTTGGTAGGCAGAATAATGGGCCCAAAAGCTGTTCATACCCTAACTTCCAAACCTGTGAATATGGACTTTCCAGATAGGCCAGAAGAAAGACTCAAAGTGTCAGTGTCTGCCAGCAAGCTTAAGAGTAACATCTCTCTCGGACCAGCAGTTGGTAAAGTGGCTGTGTCGCTAAGCTCCCATGTAGTCAACCACAGTTCGAGTTCCGAACCCAGTGGCTTGAACTCTTACCAGGTGCATGCGTGCGTACCCAAGATCTTGAGAGAAGAATGGAGGAGAAGGAATTGCAGTGTGGCCATCCCTCCTGGGGGATGATTTCTTACTTTCTGTCTTTCTCTGGTGAGCACACGTGCCCTATAGCAAAACCTCTCTCCTCCCCCCCCCCAAAAAAAAGAGTAACATCTTAGATGGTAATCTGTCAGCATTCATCCTTAGGGTTTGGTCCCGTGAAGGAAAGAGTTAGCGAAAGGAAAGAAAGATGCAGAAGCAGAAGATGCAGATGAGCACAGACAAGCTATGCTGCTCAGTCATGCTGAGCTTCTTTATTTAAACACTTTACCAGGCACAGTGAACTGTTGCAAGCTTTCAAGGATGTGGTTGAAGTTCTACAGTTAGAGATAAGGACTTTAGTGTAGACGTTTTCGACTTTGTTACTATCGTGTGTGATCCTGTTACACATCATAGGTCAAGCCAGATTACTTAGACACTGTTCCTCTGCAACTCCAAGGAAGGCTGTCTGAGTATGATCAAAGAGGATGATGTGTAAGCTGTAAACATATACAACAGGCATTCACATGACCTATCCAGGGTCAGGATGTTTCCCGTGCCCTACATGGATATTTCCACAGTGCCTCTGGTGTCTAAGGCATGTATCATCTGGCTCTAGTAAGTAATTAACAAGGTATGCAGATAACTGCTTCATACTGCCAGGCTGTATACCCTCACAGAACCAGTAGATGACATAATGGTTACGTCACTGGACTCCCATGTAGTTGGCCACGGTTTGAGTCCCAGCCCAGCAGCTTAAAACTCACACTGGCCTCGTGTGTGCATTCCCAAAATCCCAAGAAGAGAATGGAAGAAAAGAGATTACGGCATGGCCAACTCCCCCACCCCCCCAGGGACTGGATTTCTCACTTTCTGACTCTGTCTCTGTCTTTCTCTCCGGAGAATGCATATGCCCTATACCAAAATCTCTCTTAAAAAAAATAAAACCAGGGGCTGGCAGTTGCTGAGGTGGTTGGGAGCACTAGATTTCCACATGGCCAACCACACTTCGAGTCTCTGACCCAGCAGCTTACTTTCTCACTTTTCCTCTCTTTCTCTCTCTCTGTCCCTCTCTGTCAAATTTAAGTAAATAAATAAATAAATAAATAAATAAATAAATAAATAAATAAATAAATAAATAAATAAATAAATAAATAAATAAATAAATAAATAAATAAATAAATAAATAAATAAATAAATAAATAAATAAATAAATAAATAAATAAATAAATAAATAAATAAATAAATAAATAAATAAATAAAATAACGTTCAATAAAATTATTCTTTAAAAAAATAAAACTCATGCAGGCTGCGTGCGTGCCCAAAATTCCAAGAGGAGAATGGAGAAGAGATTGCAGAATGGCCATCACCCCTCCGGGGTAATTTCTTGTTTGTTTCTCTCTGTGTCTCTCCAGCGAGTGCACGCACCTTATAGCAAAAATCTCTCAAAAATAAATAAGGAAATAAAACATCTTGAAGATGGGGCAAATGAAATTACAGTTAAAGGAGCAGAAAGAAAAAAGAATGAAAAGTAAACAGAGCCTAAGGGACCTGTAGACACCATTGGGAGTACCAGAGGAAAAGAGAATGAATAGAGCAGAGGGACTGGCAGGTAATATGGTGGTTGAGACGCTGGATTCCCACATGGCCAACTGTGGTTTGAGTCCTGGACCTGGCAGCTTGCTTTCATACTCACTTTTCCTCCCTCTCTCTCTCTGTCTCTTTCTGGCCAAATTTTTTAAAAAATGATAATGAGACCAGCAGGTAGTGTGGTTAAAGGCACTGGATTCCCACATGGCCGACAGCAGTTCGAGTCCCAAACCTGGCGACTTGCTTTCTCACTTTTCCTTTCTGTCTCTCTCTGGTCAAATTTTAAAAATAATAATAATAACAAATGTAATAAAATAATTACTTTTTAATGATAATGAATAAAATCAAATAAAGAATTCTTTTTTAATAAAGAAAGGGGCCAGCAGATGATGTGGAGGTTAAGGTGCTGGACATTCCCACATGGCTGACCACGGTTCGAGTCTTCAACCTGGTTGCTTTCTCACTTTCCTTCTCTCTCTCTCTCTTTTTGTCTCTCTTTGGACAAATTAAAATAAATGAATGAATAAATTAAAAATAAAAAAAGCAAAGAACAGAAAGTATATTTGGAGAAATAATGTCTGGAAACTTCCCAAATTTGATGATGGACAGGAATCTACATGTCCAAGAAACCAAATGAACTTTAAGTAGGATAAACTCAAAGAGGTCCACACCATAACACATCAGATTCAAACTGTTAAAGGCTAAAGACAAATAGAATGTTGAAATCAGTATGAAGAAACAATCCAGTCCAAAAAGGGATAAAGGGAGGCCAGCAGATGGCATAGTAGTTAAGGTGTTAGACTCCCACATGGCCAACTACAGTTTGAGTCCCAGACCTGACAGCTTGAAACTCATACTGGGTACATATGCA